GTTGATAGTTGATCCAAGAAGAATGAAGTCCTTCCTGTACTTTCTCACAATTCCACTCTCATTCTCTGGATCTGTCTTCAGTCACCCACTTCTATATGGGAGCAGAAATCACTAAAGAAGTGAGAAAAGGGAGTCAGGCACTATGTTGATATTAAGAAAGGTCAAGGAAGAGGGAAATCAAGCATTAGCAACATGAACTCCAACTTCAGATTCCGACTCTTAACGACTCTTTATAGGACAGAGTAGAGCTGCCCCAACAAGGTTTCCAATGGTGTGATCTTTACAGATCCAGACTGCCACATCTTTTTTCTGCAGTGTGGCTGGTGAATTCAAGCTACCAACATTTTTGCTTAGCACCCAACACTTAACTGAACCAGTGGGGAAGAATTTGTGGTGGCACTAAATTACCAATGCAGCATTAAATATGCTAAGGCTTATGTCTCTACTTGTGTCTTGGTGAGTGGGCTGAGTAGGGAAAGCCAATGTGTTAAACCCCTTTTCCTTAACCTCTCCAGTTTCTTTAAATAACAATACTCTCTGCTTGCCATGACTGTCCCTTCTGATACAGGTAATAATGCCTCTACCAAGCTCCTCAGGCTACCAGTTCCTTCTCTGTTTTCCATACTCCAGATAAAGTCTCCTTTCCTTTACCACCTTACTTTCTCACAACCATCTTTCATTTATTCCAACTCAAGCCTACTCCTCCTCCCTTTCTCCTTAGCGATCCATTCTGTTTCCTGTTCTTTGAAACAGAAAATAGAATGGATTTTCTTCTACCACCCCCAGCATTGCAGAGACCTCATATTTGCAACTCATCATGGCTTCCTCTCTCCTTAACCAATGAGAGCTTTCTTTTAGAGTGCACCTTTTCAGCTGTTGTCTTTCTTTGAAAATCTCTTTCTCATGCCTCTTTCATAAAGAGGAGGGTAGGCCTGTCTGTATGTTCCAGTGTCACTTCCATAAGATGAATGCACTTTATTCAGGATGCCTTCACATAGATGTACTACCTTTTTCACATCTTGCACATCACATACTAGTCTTTTTGATAATGACTTAAAGCAGTAGCTTGCTCCACAAAAGTTCTAATGTTTTGAGTCCTAATTGGTTGATCTCTAAATGTGAAAAGAGCTTCCTCAGCAGCAGGGTGGAAGAAATGGTCAGAACCAAAAGATCATCATGGAGAACAAAGGTTTATCCTTCACATTAGCATTTCAGCTTCTTCTCTAGGTTTGAAAATTCCTGTCTCAAGGAACCCTTAAAAGCAAAAAGGAAAACAGGAAGGAAAGGAGAAAGAGACAAAAGAGAGGAAGAAAGGGATAGAAAAGGCACTTTTAAAAAAAGTTTTCTGAGAAATGATTTGTCTGGTGAGACAAATGCTGCATCTCAAGGGAGAAAAATGCTTAAGCCTATATTGGTGGTGGTGATGACTCATGGTGAGCCCATTTACAACAGCATCAGACCACGAGATCCATGGGGTTTTCATTGGTTGATTTTTTAGAAGATTGTCCACCTTGTTCCTGCTCTGTTTGACTCTGGAAACTCCACTGAAACCTGTTCAGCATCATAGAAACACAGAAATCTTCACTGACCGTCCAGTAGTGACTGTGCTTGAGATGCTTTGGTGAGGAATTGAGCACGTGCCTCCCACATGAAACGCAGAAATTCTACCACTAAATCTTGACCCGCTACTGCCATCAGTCAATTCTGGCTCATTTCTACCCTATACAGAGTTTCCAAGGCTATAAATTTTTGTTGTGGTGGTTGTTGCTAAGTACTGTCCAGTCAGTTCTGACTCGTAGCAACCCTGTATAGGATTTCTGAGAAGCAGTGGGTGGGTTTGAACCACTGACTCCATGGTTCCTCTAGTTCTTATCCTATAGTGCCACACCAGGAGTCCTATAAATCTTCATGGAAACAGACAGCCTGGTGGGTTTAAACTCTGACTTTGTAGTGCTTATGGTGTAGCATCACAAGAGCTCCTTAAACCATTGTTGTTATTAAGTGCCATCAAGTTGGTTCCAACTCATAGCAAACCTATGCACAACAGAACAAACATTCCCCAGTCCTGTGCCAGCCTCATAATTGTCACATTTAAGCCCATTTTTGAGGGGGGTGGAGGGGATTCTTTGTTGATTATTGGGATGTTGGGGGTGGGTCAGGGGAGGGAGGGGAAGGTGTAACACAGGGCAGGGATTAGACACAGGATAGTTTGGG